CTGCTATATACAGGTCAACTTTGCAAAAAATATAAGGCAGCTGAAAATTTGGGAAGTTGTTCAGTTAATGTAATATACAGGGTGACCACTATATATAGGTTTGACTGTAGTATTTTCATGTGACAAAGACCCAGCTATATAGTGACTGTTTAAAAATTTACAAAGGACTTAGAGTGTTAGTCTTTTTCCTGAACAGAATACATCATCACGAGAAAGAAGAAGGGATAGAACAGATAGAGAAAGAAGTCAAAGAGGAAGTCCTCAAAGAGGTTGTGATAATAAGATATTTTAGTATTTTAAATTTTTAAAATCTTTTATTCATACATGTTGCCACTAAACACATTATTAATCATGAAACAAAGCAAATTACTTTTTATTTGTTAACTTTGTCACTAGTATGGATACCAAACACAGTAAAGTTACATTTTTAAGTTAATAGGTAATGCAATTTACCAGTATAGAAGTTTGTGCACTGTTTATGTTCGATCTAGCTGTTGTCATGTTCTGACATGCCTGAACCATTATGCTTTTCAGTTTAATATGAACACAAACTATCCTGTTTATTTTTGAGATTTAGTTGAATTATTATCTTTAAATAATGCAAATAATGGAGAAAATAATGTTTTTTTTGAATCACTAATACTTTATCTCTTGCTGTGAAGATGACAGATCACATCATCAGAGAAGTGAGCAAAACAGTCAGTCTGAAACGTAAGTATTATCCATTATTAATTTGCAGTTTTCATTTCCTGTTTCCATTTTTCTTATTCCTCTACATTAATTTTGTGAGTAGGGATCAGCTAATTCAGGAGGGAACTGGATAATGTGAAGACTGGTGGACAGGAGTAAGCACTGCAAACCATAATTTTCCAAAAGAAGATCAGAAGACAAAAATTAGAACTCAACTGAAAATGCTTTTAATAAACACTGCATCCTGTAGACTCGAAGAATTCTAAGTACTGCAAAGTAAGATTGAGTAATACTAAGGAAAAATATAGAGCACAAAATGCATGTATTACTGTTTAATTCTCTAGCACCGTAAACTCCAATGTTTGCTCAAACAGTCAAACCATTCTTCATAGTTATTTTTTTATTTTATTTCAGGGCTGAACAGAACATAGATGGTCCAAACTACAATCTGTCTGGAAAATTAACAGAATATACAAACACTTACAAGGTATACCAAAAGTTCACAGTTCTGATGTTTTAGTCGGGACCTACATGCATGTATTTCTGCCAATAACAGTGCAACAAATGTTAGCTATGCACACAGGACAACCATGAAGCACCCACAGGAAGACCATCAAAATTATCCATAAATGTAGGCCATGTCATGTGATGTACTTTATTTTTGTCTTGTTTGTAGGGAGTTGTTATCAAATACAATGAGCCCCCAGAGGCACGGAAGCCTAAAACAAGATGGCGACTATATCCATTTAAAGGGGAGGAAGCAATGTGTGAGTAGCCCAACCAGCCTCTGTGAACTAAAAGGGCCATCCTAAGGGAAGAGAGAAGCAACCACTTACGTCAGTCCTTTATAGTCCATTGGCAATGTGCGTTGGACAATTTGGTCTAATAAAACTTTGGTATTTGGCCACTATTGTTGGTTTTCATCAATAGAATACATAAAAAAGTATTTAATGATGAAGAAATTTATACAACTGCAGCAAGTGATGGTTCTCAAGAGTCAATAATTAGTTATTCTTACTTTCCTTAATTTCCTAACCCTAATATTATTCATGATTGTAAGTAATTATTAGGGCAAGGAGAAACAGGATATTGAGAATCAACCAACAGACAGGAGGTTGAAACTATTTCATCCTGAATTTCATTTTGTTGTACAACTTTTCCTTCTTGCAGCTGTTATGTACATCCATCGCCAAAGTGCTTACCTGCTGGGGAGACAAAGACATGTATGTACAAACATGACATGTACATTAAAAAGAAAACCAACTTACAAGAACAAAATGTAATATTACCCATTTGAAAAGTGAAGGTTGTTTGTGTTGCTGAGTTTTTCTCTCTCCTTTGGTCAATTTTGTTTTCAGCCTAGGTCAATTTGTTTCAACCTTAATTTTGTTAAGGTTGCACTATCAATCTAAGGTTATCCTAAGCTTAAACTTAACTAACTGAGGTTAGAATATGATCAAAGTAAGCCAAGCTATAGCTGAGTTTGCCATTATTTGGCAGCCTAACAGGCATGATCTACGCAGCTCTGTACTTTATATCTGAGGTTATAAACCAAATGTAAAATTTTTCCTCAAAGTGCCCTTCATAAAAGGATCAGTTGAAAGGCTGGTGGAACAGTATTAACTGATGTAGTTCCTCCCTGCATTATATTATTTGCAGATAGTGGATATTGCAATTGACCATCCATCATGCTCAAAACAACATGCAGTTTTACAGTACAGACTAGTTGATCATACAAAGACAGATGGAACTGTTGGAAGAAAAGTGAAGTAAGTAGTTATTCATAACATACTCAGTATAGATAAAAATATGCTGTAAGAGTATAGGACATTCATTATCTGTTGGTCTTATGCTGTGCCTCTTTTCATGATAGAGTGATTTCCCTACCCTGCGAGCAGAGGCTACATTTTTGAGGTATGAGCTGGTGTGCGATTTCGCACGCCAGCTCATACCGCGAAAATGTAGCCTCTACTTGCAAGGTATGATTTCCCAGACCTTAAAATGATAACACAGGAACAAAACTAAAACAGCAACTTAACAAACAAACAAGATTGAAAAATTTAATTATCAGAAAGACATAAAAGCATGCAGCTTTTGGTATGGTTATGGTAAGCACACAAGGCATTTCAAGCTGAAAAAATTTACTGTGAAGTAATTTCCAGTAAGTTTGGAAAATATAAACTGGGCCAGTGTCAACTGGACAATAATCTTTTATGACACTTTTTCCTTCCAAAACAACAAAACTGTGTTTTGACCTTTTAAACTTATTTAAACTTATTTTTAAATACCTTTTTATTATTTAATAACTTATTCCAACTATATTATAAAATAAAATAACAAACACATCAAGAAACCATTTTTAAAGGTCAAATGGAAACCACTCTTGCAACACATATTTACAGAATAAAAATATTATACACAGCCAGAATTGATTTTTTTCTGTTATTGAGCATGATCCGGTTTATTTATTCTTTTGGTTGCAGTTAGTTTTAAACATGGAAGACAACTTAATTTTGTGTTAAAAGATGAGAGGCTATATGAATTATGCAGTATCTAACTTTTGACTATATGATATTAACTCCAGGCCCTATATTATTGACTTGGAGTCTATAAATGGAACTTATCTAAACAACCAAAGAGTAGAACCCAGACGATTCTATGAATTGAAAGAAAAGGTCAGTATGTTTCTAACTTTCATACTTGAAAGTCAGCAGTAAACACTAAACATTCTCATGATTCTTGTGATTTTGATTCTGTTGAGCTTTTGAATTTCTCTAGGTGTACATGCTCCCACAACTCTGGGGGTGGGGGGGTGGATGATGACAACTCCAACTTCATCATCAGTGAAAATAATATTAACCTTCAGATTGCAGGGATGTAGCCAAGGAAAAACTGAGTAGGCTTATTTGTCAGTCAAGCTGGAGCTGGTGAAATAAGCTGGCTGTGGCCTTTAGGGACATTCCTGAGATTGAAGAAAATAAGTTTTAATTGTCACCAAATGAATTTTATTGCAGCTAAAATTCTTTGGTAGAAGTTTATTTCTGCTTTATTATTTTGTCAGGATGTTCTAAAATTTGGTTTTTCAACGAGGGAATATGTAATTCTAACAGAGAAGTCACAAGACAGTGATGATGATGAACCTGAACCTGGCAATGAGGAAGGCTAAAAGCAAAATTTGGTCAAGATTGTGTTTGAAAGAAGACTGTTTAACTGATAATCTGGCCACTGCTGTTGTGTTACCTAAGCTGAGCAGTATTCATCAGCTGTACACAGGATCAGTCAGCCATTTCCAGAAATTTATCAAAGGGATTGTCATCCTAATTTGCTGTAGAGCAGCATAAAATCTCTCCACTTTCAGAACTACATGTTTAAAGCTTGATTTTCTCAGTAATTTTTATGTTCTGATGTTTTTCCTTCATTGCTTCATAAAAATTATACATGTTACCAAGTCACCCAAGCAAGGCTCTTACTATAGCATTTTCACTATTTTTGATAAAGATAAATGCAGATACTAAAAGATTCATACATTTACTATTCATACACTGTATGTACCAAGGAAACCATCCCCCGGTAGTTTTTAATTTTAAGCTCCAGACAAGTCCAATCCTTGATTAGCCATTCCTGACAGTTAAATCTTTTGTTTAGTGCCTACTGAGTTCTGACAAGGTCTCCAATGTACATTAAAGAAATTACAGCTAATGCTTGTTCATAGAAGGACAGTATCACAAACAAACTTTCAAGCTCATAAACCTTACTTATGAAGGACAGCTATACAGGAAATTTAAAACACTAGTTTCTTTGTTAATAAATGAGACAATAAAGTGTTGTTCCTTGCAAGAAAATGAAGTACTAAATTTACCTACTGTTACAGCATCAGACTTTAACTCTCAGCTGTCTATTAGTGATCACCCCTACATTTTTTTGTTCTAATGCTATTTTTCCCTGTTGACTCATTTTTTCTTTTACAACTGGGCATTAACTAGGCTTCATTTTGGTGAAAAAGTTATTGGGAAAGATTTTAGGATTGCATGGAAGGAAAGTTAGATGAGTAGTGGAACAAGATTTTCAGGGGAATTTTCGGGTCAAATGTTTCTCTCCAGCATCCTTGACTGAATTGTGCTTATTCTGGCACAGTTTCAAAGATATCTTCCCCTTGCACAAGATAGATTACAAAGTTGTCCTTGAGCGTTAAAACTGATGAGGTCACAAGCAGTAAAATGGGTGTGAATCTGCACAATTGGTTAAGGATGGTTCATCAGGGGTGAAGGGGTTTTTTAAAACGTCAGCAACATTTTGGTCACAAAAACAAGATATAAGAATGGTACTGCCAGGGACTATAATTATTTTATAAAGACACAAAATATACAAACAAGACAAGTAAAATAACTTTATCTAATTTGTTAAAATGTACAGAAAAAAAAAACAACATAAAAGTAGTTACGTAGTTCACAAAATTCTGTTCATTTCAGATACTTGAAACACATGCAGTTGTCAGCTTGTACTACTAACTGTCTGGTGATAATAGCTCAGAGCAAATTAAATAATATGTACAAATATATGAGAGGATTACATTCTCATTTCAAATAGCAGCTTATTTACATTTTTCAAAAGTCCCTACATGTATCTAGATTTACACAATGCTTTTGTCCAATGCTGTATTAAGGCCCTGATTTCTGTACATTCCACATGTCCCTAAATGTTCACTAAATTTCTGGACTTTTGCATGAAAACTTGTAGGCATAGTGTGTACGGTAGGACGATGGCTCCTGCAAGATAAAAGAAATCTTTAGTTATAAACACCAGTTAGGTTCTCTTATGCTTTCATTGTGCTGAAGATACCTTTAAAGAAAATGTAAATGCTAGTTATTTTGTTGAGAAAAATAATCAATTGGAGCCACACTCTCAAGACAAAATTCTGGTATCTCTAGGGACATTTCTGATCCTAAACTGAATCATTTTTATAGGCCCTGACCAGAAGGCAACTTTCAATCAGCTTTCCAGGATGTGACTCTTTACTTAAAGTAACTAAAACTGGCTGTATTTGATGACTTCTTTAAAGATACTTTATTTACACACTGGTTTAACAAAAGGGGGGGCTGGTATATTAATATTTGATGGTAATTTGCATAATGGTCAAAATTTATGCTGCTTACCCATAATCCATCGCACTTGTCATGTACATGGGGTTTTGTTTCTTTGTGCTGTAACCCTGAAACCAATCTAATTAGAGAACAGTCTTAAATCAGTACAGTTAAGCAGTATAATAAATACAGTGTATCCAGTGGAATGAAGTGTAGTTGTAAATGAAGCCTATGAGAACAGTTTCGACAGAAAAGATAACAGCAAAACCTTACAACAACAGATTTGCAGATTCTTCCAAGCAAGCAAGAAAGAAAGTGACTTACGAATTAACATCTGGAATGAGGCTACAAACTTTACTAGAAAGAGAGTTATAGTGTAAATACAATCATTAAGTACTTTTGCATTCTACATCGCCTTAAACCTTATACCTTTTTAACTTACAGTTTAACTCATTATGGTGGGATTTCATTGAGGACTCACCCACTTGCTTCTTAAAAAGTGAGAATAGTGTACAAAATCTACACCAACTGACTATATACGATACTTACAGTCACTCATCTAATGGAGAGTACTCTCCATAATTTTTGGCAGGTGGCTAGGTAGAGGCCCTGCCAGGGTAAATTCCGACAAGCGACATGGCCCAAAAAGTAGGGACAGCCCGTAAAATGAAATCGCCACAAGAGACAACCTCCCTTGGTGAAATTGTGACAGTGACAGCAAAGCCGACAATAAGCGACAAGCATTTATAAGCACTGACACAAGACGTTTTAAAATTAAGATGGGCGACACGGGACCCCCCCTGGCAGGGCCTCTGGGTACGAATTATGAATTTATGAAATTTATCATTTTTTAATTTCCAGTGTTCATTATGCAAATAATTAAATACAAATTTACTTGTATTTTTGTCCTCAAAATATTTCTTTTAACTGAAAAAAAAACCTCAGTGTTATCAAATTGAAAAAACCTTTTTGTTTTCATATCAATGATGAGCCCGGCTCACTCCTCAACCAAGTCTATGGCCTACCTTCATCCTGGCGCTCTGTAACTGGAAGATTATAAACTTCCGTAGGACACGAGAAAACAGGGTTTCCAAGGTTATTAATTACAGTGTTATCTGTAAGAAAGAATGAGACATACCCGGGTTATCAAACCGCTCAGGAATGTTGAAAGTGCGGTAATAGTCAGAAGTAATGGCACCTTTGCCTGGTTTGGTCTTCTCAAAGTCATCTGCTGCACCAGCACCTTCTACAGACTGTTGAACCTTATCACTGTCCTGTAATGAAAAAACAACAATGAAACTCTTGTAAGCAAACAACTGGAGACTGACAGCAGCTGTCTGCTGGATGGTCAGCTTGTGCATGCTAGCCATGGTCCTGAATTAATTCCAGAGGAATAATGTCAGAGACCTTGACAGATATACTGTTCACGTGCAGGGTATGGACTGCTACTAGCTCTAATACACCAGGGAAATGTACATACCCTGGGAAACCACAGCTGCCAGTATAATAATTTTACAAAACTCTGTGGCAAACAGGTTTGCTTATCTGTAACTGTAGGTGGAAACGATGTGTGTGTTATGATCCCTATTCAGCCATCATCCTCAGGTTAAGGGGAAAATGGTCACTTTGGCAACTGACCCAGCCCTCGCCCCCACCCGAGGGGGAAATTGAATGGTAAAAGGTTCCACTGAGTTACTGCGTTCTGTTTTCTCTGGTGACATGAACAGTTGGAACAGAGTGTCTTGAACATATACCTGGCCCTTTAACAGGAAATTAAAAAATTTTAAAGCACCTACATTTTTATCTGGCCCTTGATATATCTGCACTAAGTAAGCTTATATGCTGGTATTTCAGGCAAAGATTCAATACCCATGGTGTAACCGGTTGTACTCTGTGCGAATAAAGGTTTGTTGAGGTATTTTACTCAAGTACAAACTATTATTGACTAGCAATCGTGAAATAACTGAACTGCTGTTATAACTTTTGGGCACAAATTCTTAAGTTTTTCACCATTTTATTTATCGATCTTTGAAAATCGAATTAAGAACGAGCGTGATGCTCGCTTTTCTCTTCTGCATCGATCTATATTGACTACACGTTCAAAGTACATTTACTTACTTTTGGCTGCTGATCAAGGTTTTCTAATCCTGCTGACATTCTTTAGACGGCGTTAAATGTACACAGTGTTTTAAACAAATACACACAAGTCAGTCGAATCTCCGCAAGCTTTCCTTCGACGTCTCAATATGGCCGACCGTAAATCGTCTTAATCGTTGCTGTGGCAACCAAACCAAAACGCACAAGGGTTTTAGCTACCAGTACTGCTCTTCTCGTCTGAATAATTTTCCCAGGCCCTCGCAGCCGGGTTCTATAGAACGTGGGTTGGGCCAGGGCTGGGCCAGGGCTGGGCAGGGGTTGGAATATATTTTGAGATGAACAAGAAAGTTGCTCGCTCCGTGGTGACGGACAAGTCCAGGTCTAGAATTTCAAGTCATGATTACATTTACCTCTCCATTAGTCTGCTACACAGCCGGTTTTAGTGTTGTCATGAATGGCAACGCTCCTCTTCCATGAGCGTTGGGTGACAAAACTAAAAACGGCTGCTTTAGAAATTCATTTTATCTTACTATGACTGGGTCTTGGAGGAAAGGGTTAACATTATAAGCTCTGGTTATATATTCAAGGACATAAAATTTTGGCTTAATATTTAGCCATCAGTCTATTGCATCATGCCCCTCACCAAATAGGAAGTGCGAGACTGGTATTCTTGTGCAATGTATTACTGCATGTTCACAGAGTACCAGACATTGAATGAACCACTTCCGAGTAGCCTCAAGTCTGTTTTAAAGTGAGGGTAAAAGCAAAGGATTTGATATGAAAAAGATCTTTTATTTTCATGCAAATAAAGCTTCTACAAGAAAGTTTTACAAGAAAGGTCTTGGCCTCATTTTGAAAGTGAGGGTCTTTGAAACTCAGAAAAGGCCTATTTATAACAATAATTGGACATCGAAGACAAAAATACTCATCTCAGTTTTCCATAACATCACTTGTATTTTTCTTCACTGTTTGTACATAAGCAGTTGATATTTACTTCATTTTTTAAATTATCTTACAAGAATCAACTAAAGTCCCGTCTACTGAGGAAAAATATTAGCAGGAACTTTAACTTTTCAAATGCAAGTTTGGAAGAGAAACTCCAAAAAGCCAATTCTGTCACAAAGCCATTCGTTAAATATCTTCCGAAAATGCTGCTAATCGAGCTCTACACTTAGGTATTCCGTTAATACAATCACTAATAGGATTTTTTGGTACTTAAAAGTCCTCAGCTGTATTTTATAAAAAATCGTCCACACTGCTCTCCTAACATAACCTAAGAACTTTTAAGCTCTTGTCCAATCTTATAGTTAAGAATCTTGTTCCAGTCTATTTTAGTGCGTGTAATTGGTAGCTGTCTTCGTAAAGCTTTAAACGTTGTATCCGACATGGTACTATAGTTTTCCGACAGTGCTCTCTGGGGAAAAAAGCAAAATCATGATAAAATTTAGCATGTTTTTCCATCAACCTTTTGAGGTCAACATTTGTACAAATACGATGACGTTCTACACAAAAAACTGTACTCAGCAACAAGGACTGAAATTCAAATTCACAAAAATTTATCACTGCAGACAAAAACAACAACAACAACAACAAAACAAACAAGCAGATACAAAAGTCAATAATTTGAGACACAAAACGCCCTCAAAAATGTCAAAAAACAATTACATAAGGCAAATCATCGACTCCCCAGATCAACTCTTCACAAGGTGGGTTTAAGAACTGAAAGTCTATGCAAAACACTGAAGGAGGATTTAAACAGGATACAACACATCTCAGACCATTCGTTATCAACTCTAAGGGATCAGTGAGTTACGTGGAGTAACGTTATATATGTCATGAAAATCTCAGAAGAATGGGAATTGCACTATCTGACAACTATCATCACTTATATGCTGAGAAAACCCACGAGTTTGTCCCAGATACCAAATTAAGTAACTTTATGAAATTATACAATTCCCTGACATTGGCAAACTTTCCAGAATTAATTAATAATACAAAGTGGAAAAGAAATCCCAACTAATTACCTGATAGTCAGTTTCTGCATTATCTACGATCTGCAAAAAATGCTTGGCTGTTCCATGCTCACTCTGGAAATGGACAGTACATTAATAGAATTTCAACTTTCAATATGGTACAATTATAATAAACTTAACAAACACAATTATAATAACTTAATGAAGCACAAAAAGTATTTTTTTCCTTTTGTTGATTAACCCTCTCCCCTTATAGCTCATGCTCTGCATGTTTTGTTCTTGTTGTCATCATATTTTTGTCCATGTAAGTGCTTTAATTAATATTAGAAGACAAGGAAAAGAGGGGTACACAGAAACAATACTTACCGTGACTTTGAGGTCTTCCTTCACCTCTTTGGTTGTGACAAGTTGAACATTTCCATCTTCATAATAATGAACCTGAAAAGGATAAATAAAAAGCAGCCATGTTACCAATTTTTCCAATCACAACTGTAGAAAAGATAAATTGTTGTTTTTGTTGCGTGGACAGGTAATGTGCAGCATAAGATTTGTGGGTGGGATTTACTATTGCAACACGTTCTCTCTCTACAACCATTGTTAGATTATTACCTGTACTTTAAGGATTCCAGTGACCTCTACATTTCCTCCTGATGGCTGAAATGACACAGACCACTCTGAACGCCAACGACCATTCCTGAAAATGGACAAGATCGCCAGAGTTAATAACAGAATGGCAAAAAGTGGTCTTGAACCAAGTATTCCCTTTCTTCTCCCTTGTCTGCATGCTCTTTGTGTTCTCTTTTAAGAATTCCCCTTCCTTTGAGAACTCCTGCCTTGACAGACTTTTGCATGTACATCGTAGAACCCACAATGCAATAACAAGAGAAACTTATCAAAAGAAAACAAATTTGCATTCAACAGACAATGATGATTGCACATCAATCAATGCACATGTGGCAAATGTTAGCAAGAAACTATGCTTATGTTGGTACATACAGTGCAGACTCCATGTGGATAATGATCTCTGACATATGCAGTGACACTTTCCTCAATAGCACTCCTCCATGGTTCAGCTGTTGGATTGGGATCATGGTCAGCGAGATTACTTGCTTCCTGCAACAAATACACCCAACATTGTAAGACTTTCAATCAAAACATTCTTTTCAGGGATTTTAAAAGATAAATAATCATTACAATTAACAAATGTCATGTTCAAGGTCAAAAGTGATCATAATAAAGAATCCATAGTTATAAAAAGGAAAATATATATTCAATCAGAAGAGAGAGTAAATAAAAAAGATCATCAAATTTATGCAATCGATTACACACAGCTCTCGGCAAAAAGCAAAGTGTCCAGACAGCAAAAACACAAAAAGGTTTAGAGGAGAATTTCTCTTTGGTTTTGATGAGAGACACTAATGCAAGTAACAGTAGAAGTCACACCCATTTTACTTCAAAGAATTTAGGAGCTTCCCAAGTTTTTGTTGATTTATTTTTTTCCCAAATCAATGAATGTCAACATCATTTCAGGTTTAAAAAATGTTAGTCATCTGTCCTCCAGTGATGGAATAGCTTATCACAGAAGTTTTCACCAAATTAAAGTCTTTTAATGGAGATTGTTGAATCTTTTCCCTGGCCTCTCAGCCAAATACCATGCAGTTATAACATGAGAACACAACAATAATAACATTTCCCACCTTGCGCAAGTGGTCATAATGAAAAGCCTTTTTGCTTCTGGGATCATGGAATCTTCCATCAGGAAGTTCACCGTGTTTGGTGACTAATACCTGAATAAATAAGTTAAATAATTAAACAACAATGCAAACTAGACTTCCCACATTGAAGATATGATTGCTTGTGAGGTGTCACATATGACTTTAAATACCCACAATCTACTAGACTCTCTTACTTCAGGACTTACGAAGACTAAACGACAAGGCTGCTGCCTAATGGGTGCCCGGATGCCAGAGGCTCCAACAATTTGCTTGCAGGCAACTACAATTTTTAACAAGGAGCCTGCACTGGTGCCTAAAACTTATGATTTTTATGGCAATGGCCTTTATACCTACTTCCAATGAAGGAGCAACAGAATTCCCTGCTCATTTAGCACTTTTGAAACACAAGCATAAAACCTGTGCTCAACCACCATAGGCAAAATTTCCACTGATAAAAGTAAACAAAGAGGCACTTTCTGGAAATTCAAAACTTGAATGAATCGAGTTTCAAACATCTGCTTACTTATTTAAGTTTATCGATCAATGGGCTCCTAGAGATGTGGCTTGGGCTTCTGACTTTTTTCTTTTTGGAGCC